ACTGAGCCACCCAGGCGCCCCCATATTTCTTTATCACTTATTTCACTAACTAGATACTTACTGAGCACTCACTTTGTACAGCTTTTGCCTGGACTCAGGTTACACAATTCAGAGCCAGCAAATCTGCCTTTTTTCCCAGGAAGGAGGCCCATGTTGTTCGTAGCCTTCTGTAATTTGCCTAACTTACAATTCCAGTTTTTGCTTTAATTGATTCTATTTTATGTTGGTTGTTTCCTGAAAAGAAAGACGTCTTATCTCATTGTCATGTTCAGGTCAGGTATTTCTAAGAATTGCTGATTTCATCTGTAGTCTATGTATTTTATTAACCTTGTAGATGGTTTTCTCATTTTTTGGCTTTGCCCCTTTGTTTATTTTGTATGCCTCTCTAAGTCTCTGTCCTATTTGGGCTCTTAATTATTGTTTTAATTAAAAAATGTCTGTTGGTAGAAAAAATCAAATAATGTGTAAGTTCAGAAGGTAACTAGTGTATTTTCTGTTTTGGCAATATCATGGTCTAGCAACTCTCAAAAACCCTCTTTGCATGTGTTCCTTAAAAATGCTGATTAAGGGGCACCTGGGTGGCTCAGTCATTAAGCGTCTGCCTTCGGCTCAGGTCACGATTCCGGGGTTCTGGGATCGAGCCCCGCGTCGGGCTCCCTGCTCGGCGGGGAGCCTGCTTCTCCCTCTCCCTCTGCTCCCCCTACTCGCTCTTGCTCCTGCTCTCTCTCAAGTAAACAAATAAAATCTTTAAAAAAATGCTGATTAAGAAATAAAACTTTTTTCCCCAGTTTTTCAAAATGTATAGCAGGAAAGTAAGAGGAAATCCTCAGGGGCCAAAACAACTAGAAAGCACAAATCCTGGAAGTTAAGTGAGCGTCAGAAGCCAGCGAATGCCACCTAGCTCTGGGAACACAGTTCCAGCAGCCCATATAGGAGGGACAGGCGATAAACCTTTGGCCTGCCCCCACTGGGAATTGGATGGCAGACCCATGTGTAAAGCCGAGACCGCCCCCAAGCCATATTTAATGGAAGGGTGAACTGGAAAAAAAAAAAAAAATCCCACTACTCAAAGCAAGAAAATAGGGAAATTCTGAATCTTGTTGGAAGGAAAAAAGCAACCCAAACTGAGGATTTAAAGTTCCTGGCATGAGAGTGACCACAAACTCCTGGCAGAAATATATAAATCCTCCTGGAATGAGAAATTGTGTTTTGAATGAATCAATGAACAGTCAATACAAAAAGGTCCTCAGAGCGTTTTGAATCACGATGTTGGATCCTGAACATACCAACATTGCCTTTCTCCCAAGGTCTCATTTAAATATCCAAAAAGATTTTTTATTTTTTTAAAATTTTAAAAAA